TATGCATTATCAAAAAGACAGTACCCCCCAAATTGATCTACAGGTACAACAAAATCTATTAGAATCCCAACTCACTTCTTCTTAGAAATTGACAAGCTGATTCTAAAATCCATATGGAATTGCACGGGACCTGAAATAGCCAAAACAAGTTTGAAAAGGAACAAACTAGAAGAACTCTCACTTCCTGAGTTCAAAATTTACTCCAAGTCAATAGCAATAAAAACATATTAGAACAGAATTGAAGAGTCCAGAAATAAACCCATACATGTATGGTCAAAGGATACCAATACTATTCAATGGGGTAAAGAATAGTCTTTTCTCTCCAAGTATGGCTTATTGGTTGCTTTATAAGATAATTATTTCTGAATAAATTTCACTCCAGTCCTTGATTATATGTTCATTGGAGACCACTTAATAATATTATTGTTATTATTATTTGGAAGAACTTGACATAGAGCATTGCACATAGTAGGGGATTGATGAATATTTATGAAAGGAGGAAAATAATCAGGACAAAAGAAAAAGAGGAAGGGAAAGAAGGAGAAAAGAAGAAAAGAAAAGGTGACTCTTTTGCATGTCTCAAAAAATTTGAGCACTATGAAAGATCTCCGGGATAATTCAATTTCCATATTTTATAAGGGACTGAAGAGTCCAAAGAGGTTAGATGAGGTATCCAAAATCACAATGCTTGCTAAGAACAAAGCTAGTAGCAAATTAGGTCTTCTGATCCCTCACTCAGGGCCCCTCACACTGCACTGCGATGCTGGTTCACAGTAAAGCAATTTAACTGAGGGAGCCAGTGAAAATATATTTTTCCATGAGGCAGAAGATTGCTTTATTTATCCTTAAAATGAATGCTCAATCATGGATTCTAAAATAAAATGTGTATCTTAACAATAATAGCTAATTGCCCTGGCCGGGTGGCTCACTAAGTTGAGCATTGTCCCCTGTACCAAAAGGTTGCAGGTTCGATCCCTGATTGGGAGACAAATGATCCATGTTTCTCTCTTCTCTCTTCTTTCTTATTCTCTCTCTTCTCTGTTCTCTCTCCTGTCTCCTCTCTCCTCTCTTCTCTCTCCTCTCTTCTCTCTTCTTTCTCTCTCTCTCTCTCTCTCTCTCTCTCTCTCTCTCTCTCTCTCCTCTCTCTCTCTCTCTCCTCTCCCCTCACCCCCCACTTCTTCTCTCTCTTAAATCAGTAAAACATATCCTTGAGTGAGGATTTATTGAAAAAGCTAATTGAATTTATGGTCCAGTTTATTCTATTTTGTTACTGTGTTTGAGCTAACCACTGAAAAACAAATAAGGAAACCCATATCAGCTAATACCCACAGATCTGGCTTTGTAGATCTGATGCAAGAGAATTTAGGTGTTAGACTAAAATCAGGGGACTATTCTAATTTTTTCCTTTGATTCATAAATTATTTTCAAATAAGGAGGGTCATATATGAAATTATCCAGTGGGCCTCACACATCACTGAAATTCTTTAAAAACAGGAATCTCTGGAGGTGAGTCCCAGCAACTTGTATCTTGAAAAACCTTTCAGTTTATTGGGAAGTACCTAAAATTGTGAATCACTACCTTGGTTTACACCCGTCAACAATGTTCACCTAAATTAATGAAGTATTTCCTCCTGTCTCCTTGCTTCCCATCCTAGCCCACAAATTATCTACATGGTTGCCAGACAAAAAGTTGTAAACAAAATATGATGTGTTATTACATTTTCCATTCATTCATTCATCAATTATTTATTGAGAGTTCTAATCCTTCCTGGTACAGCAGTGAATACAAAGGACAAATATTTCTATTCTATACTTAATACATAATGAGCCTTTACCAAGTAATAGGAATATCAATAAAAGCCATTAGGAGAATGGCATTGACGTCTAATGCCTTCCCCCTAAAGTCCTCAGTGGTTTCCTGGTGCTTAGACTCCTTTGTATGGTGGGCACAGCACTGAGTGGTCTGGGCTTCCTGTGAGGATTTGGTTCTCACCTTGCATCCCACAGTCCAACCACACCAAACCTATTGGTTTCTTATTTACATTCCTTTTCAAGGTGACCCATCCTCTCCCTGATGAGGAACCCTCTCCCCAACCTGTTCTGCTGCTTTTCGTAACACCTACATGTATTTTAAGATTCAAGAATCATGTGTCACCAAAATTCATGTAAGAAGAAGTAGATGATCTGAATTGGCCTATGTCTATTAAATAAATAGAATCAATAATTAAAAGCCTTCCAAAGCAGAAAGCACCAGGTCCTGATGGGTTTGCAACGTAGAGACTAAAAAAATATATAAAAGATCAATGAAACCAAGAGCTGGTTCTTTGAAAAGATAAGCAAGATTGATGAACCTTTAGCTAGACTCATCAAGAAACAAAGCGAGAGGATACAAATAAAATAAAAAAATGAAATGGGTGAAGTACAACTGATCCATAGAAATACAAAGGTTTGTAAGAAAATACCATTAACAACTAGATGCCCACAAACTGGACAATGTGGATGAAATGGACAAATTCCTAGAAAAATACAATATTCCAAAACTGAATCAGGAAGAATCAGAAAACTTGAATAGGCCAATCACAACAGATGAAATTGAAGTAGTAATAAAAAACCTCCCTGGTTAGATGGCTTCATACTTCCATCTTTTTTTAAAAAAAATATTTTTATTGACTTCAGAGAGGAAGGGAGAGAGATAGAGAGATAGAAACATCAATGATGAGAGAGAATCATTGATCGGCTGCCTCTTGCACACACAACACTGGGGATCAAGCCCACAATCTGGGCATGTGCCCTGACTGGAATCAAACTGTGACTTCCTGGTTCATAGGTCAATGCTCAACCACTGAGCCATAATGGCTGGGCCACTTCCAAGTTCCTTTTATGAGGCCAGCATTATCCAATTTTCCAAAACTAGATAAAGACACTACAAAGAAAGAGAATTATAAGCCAATATCCCTGATGAACATAGATGCTAAAATCATCAACAACATATTAGCAAATCAGATCCAACAATACATTAAAAAGATCATACACCACGACCAAGTGGGATTTATTCCAGGATGCAAGGCTGGTACAATATTCACAAATCAATAAATGTGATACATTACATAAACAAATTGGAAGAAAAAAATCACATGATCATATCAATTAATGCAGAAAAAGTATTCGACAAAATCCAACACCCTTTTTTGATACAACTCTCAGCAACGTGGGAATAGAGAGATCAGACCTCAACATAATAAAGGCCATATATGACAAACCTACAGCCAACATCATACTCAATGGGCAAAAATGAAAACCATGTTCCCTAAGAACAGGAACAAGACAGGGTTGTCTGCTTTCACCACTCTTATTCAATATAGTATTGGAAGTCCTAGCCACAGCGATCAGACAAGAAGAAGAAATAAAAGGCAGCCAAATTGGAAGGGAGGAAGTAAAACTCTCATTATTCGCAGATGACTTGATATTGCAAAGTAGAAAACTCTAAACACTCCACCAAAAAATGCCTAGATTTAATAAATGTATTCGGCAATGTAGCAGGATACAAAATTAACACACAGATATTGATGACATACCAATAATGAACTCTCAGATAGAGAAACTGAAAAACAATCCCATTTACCATTGCAACAAAAAAATTAAGATATTTAGGAATAAATTTAACAAAGGAGGTAAAAGACTTATACTTAGAAAACTACAGGATGTTGAAAGGAAGATAGAGGAACAAGTAGAGAATATACCATGTTTCTGGATTAGTAGAATCAACATCATTAAAATGTCTATACTACCCAAAGCTCCTCATGGTCTTTCTACAAAATCCAGTAATTGCTCTCCTGGCTATTTACCCAAATGATTTGAAAACTCACTTTGTCTGTCTGTACAAAGCACTAAACATGAATGTCTTTAGAAGGTTTATTCATAAGAGCCAAAAATTGGGAGCAAACAAGATAAGTCCTAGTAGTGAATAGAAAAACAAACGGAGGTGCATCCATTCAATGGAATTTTATTCGACAATAAAATGGATGAGGCATCAAGCCACAGTAAGCCATGGGGGAACCTTAACTACATATTGCTAATGAAAGGATCCAGTCTAAAACAGCTACACAGGGCATGACTCCAACTACAGGACATTCCAGAAAGGCAAAATTACAGAGACCACAAGCAGCTCCGGGGTTGCCTTAGGTTCAAGAGAAGGGCATGAGGGACGAAACAGCGGGGCACAGGGGATGTCAGGGGCAGTGAAACCATCCCGTATAACACTGTAGTGGTGGACACATGACATTTTGCATGTGTGAAAACCCACGAGATGTACAACACAAGGAGCAAAACCTAATGTCAATTATCAGCTTTAATGAATAATAATGTATCAAGATTGGTTCAATCAATCGTAACAAATGTACCACACAAATACGAGATGTAAATAATGGACAATGGGCATCTGGGAATTCTTTACTTCCTGCTCATCTTTCCTGTAAACTCATAACTGTTCCAAAATAAAATCTATTATAAAAATTTGTCCATAGTAAATAGAAAAATTTACTCATAGCAAATTATATAAAATACATACTATACTGGTATATATGTTCACATATTCAGATAAAAATAAAATAGCTATGTATCTCTTTCCATGATACCTTTTCAATGTTATGTTCTGTTATTTTCCCTCTCCTGATATAATGGTTCCACAGAGACTGGCAGTTAATGGGAGGTGAGGAAATGCAGACAGTGATGTTACATTATGCTCATGAGAAATTTGATGGTGAAGGGCAGTAGGGCTGACATGGGCAGTTGTGGGAGTCTGAAGGTCTAGGAAAGAATTATTTTTAAAGGATGTAATGATTGCCAGCTATGAAAATATATAATTAGTAGCTCACTGAATTTCATCCCTTAGTTATTTCACTTTCAATAATTATAAATGGATACTTGACTATATAAAACTGCATAGCGACAGTATCTATCACATTTTCCCAATGAGTTAAAATGTGAGAAGCAGCACATACCAGGTCATTGAGGCTGACCATGATGACATGCTGGTACTCTTCGCCACTTTTACCTTCAATCTCACAATCAGATGATGCGACTGGCAACAGAACGAGGATCAGGGGAGGAATTCCAAAGATATACCTGAAAGAAACTGAAGACAACAGTACATAAGAACGAGCTAGTAAATGTTATGTCACGTGATCTGATTTGATGGTGGCCTTTCAATGAGCCTGGCCACATATTTCTAATCCTTGTAAACATGCGTCTCTGGTTTTGGATAGAGTGGGAGGAACTCTGAAACTCAATACCAAGTAACAACCAAAGCAGGACAGACTTTCAGCGTCTGAGTTTCTTTCCTGTTTTAACTGAGGAATTACTGTTTGGGAAAGTGCAGAGCAGTGGTGGGTGCCAGCAGGGTCTCTTTGCTTCTGGAAAACACTCCAGGGTATGAATTCAGTTTATCCAATTTCAACTTATGTTGAACATCCCCACAGGGAAAGGCAGCTACAGGTGAACAGGTAATCTAAGGACAAGTGAAAAAGTTACACATTTTTGACATTTTATGATCTATGGCATGTGACTGTGTATGGAAACCCGATGGTTGTCCAAGCGTCCAGCAGCTTCCTGAGGTGGCGTCACAGGTTGATCCCACGCTACGACTTTGTGATTATATTTTTGCTTTTTAGTGATGGTTTACTCTTCCCAGAACTGTGGCAACATTGACATTATATTTCGAGACTCCTTATCTTTTCAGTAGCTTCTGTTTCTAAGTACCCCAAACCCCTATTCTCTTCAAACACTGATCTGTTTAGCTTCTTGATATGTTAGAAAAGCCCAATAAATAAGTTCACACCCTGTTAACTAATGATTTCTATCTGTTTTTTTTTATAAGCCTTCCTAATTGGGGGCAATTATCTAACAAAAAAGAATCTATATTAATAAAAGCATAATATGCTAATTAGACCGGACATCCTTCCAGACAACCTTCTGGATGAAGCCGGGGCTGTGAGGGAAGCCCAGGTCCCGGGTGCCGGAGGGAAGCCAGTATCGGCAGCTGGGGGGTGGAAAGCCTACTCTTGCACGAATTTTGTGCACCAGGCCTCTAGTTATCTAATAAAACTGAATGAAATTATAAATGAATCATTTGGGGCAATAGTAATAGACTGAACAGAAAGCCTGTGGCTCCCTGAGGCATGAAAATTTGCTTATATAGGGACTTAATTCTTCATAAGCCTGTCAGAGTATCTCCTCTGCATCTTTCTGGAAACTCTTGGGTTATGTTGACAACATCTTTCCTGTGAATTTCCCAAATGAGCTTCCACTGCACTTGCTGAGTGCAAGACATTTCACACCTGTGCCTTCTCTGATTAAGATGACAAATAATATCATCCCTAAGAACACAAGGTGGTGATATCGTGACAAAGACCTAAAGACAAATCACAAAAGTTTCCAATAACATTGTCCTCCATGCTATCATTGTCCATCATATAAGAATCGGTAGCACTCCCCAGTAAATTATGTGCTATTAATGACCCATATTTTACACATAGAGGCAGGCAGTAGGCTGGGCAGCAGATCTGGGAACAAACAGGAATCCTCCATGAATCTCATCCTCTTATGTCACTGACTCTTGACAAGGCAAGAGAAACAAAATGAGACATGGCTTCCGTTCATTGCTCTGCCAAGAAATATCTATATACATGACAAGCAATAATTCACTTAGGAGGTGAATAATAAAGCTGACACCAGTTACCTTTCACTGAATACCTACCATGTGCCAAGCATTAAGTGTCATATACATCCTAGTTCCAAAGACCAAAAGAGTTCTGCAAGTTCATCTTTTTCTGAAATGTAGGTAGTAACTGCCAGGTCTGGATTTTAACCTGGCCTTGCTGCCTCACCAGGTTTTGATCAGAAATGGCCACAATCTTTTGATAACATGCAAGCACACTGGTCCGAATGCAAACCACTTCCAGGTAATAGTCTCCAGCTCTGCTGCTTTCTTCTACTCCTGTTCCTTCATGCTGAAGATTCTCAAGCATGATCAACTAATGATTGACAGGTCCTAACTTTGTAATCAGACTTCTATGCATAGTAGAGAGATGACCTTTTCTCTGTCACCTTGCAGATGCCCACGTGGTGCACACTGGGAGGAGTAGATGATAAAGGGAAAGTTATAGAGCACAGAACTTGAAATGACCTTTAAGGGAGATAAATGCAATAAAGTATGAAGTACCAGCATGAAAAGAGGCATTTTTACCACTATACATACATGCTATTTCAAAGGAGGTTGTTTTATATTCTACATAGAGCACCAACTGTTGTGTCCCCAACTTTCAGTAATTGGTGCTTCCCAATTCCCATCAGCCTATTTATTCATTGAAAGGCATTTGATCAATGCTTTTGAATACAACCTGGTGGAAAATTCAGTCTTCTTTTGTGTACCACAACTAATTTCAAAATTTAAAACATAATTTGACTTGTCAGTAAAGAGTGTCTTTTGTTGCCACTGTTGTTAAATAATTTAGCCCCAGACAGACAAGGACAAAGCAGAGCGCGAGGGTTTGCAGAGTGGAGATGGGGCTTTTGTCTTGGTGTGATGTTGAGTTGTTGCCTGAATGAACCACAGAACATCTTTTAAGCGTCACTCCCCTGATTTGTAAAACGAAAACTTTAGACTAAATGGTCCCTCCATGTCCCTTACAATTCTCAAGCACCCGAAATTCTCATACTCTACCTGGCCATCGAGATGCAGTAACTCTTTAGATCTGAAATCGCCTCCTGGACAATGCTGCAAACACAGCTGGGCCTTCGGACCCACAGCTCCTCATGACTTGCACTTTGGTCTAGACTTGAAGTCTTTTCTCCACACCATGGAGATAGTAATATGAATGTCGCCTAGTTTGAGCTTGCTTTTAACACCGTCCCAGTAAGAAAAGAACTCTTATTTTGTTTCAGAATATACAGATACCCACACTTCCCCCAATCTTGCCATTTTCATTAGGTTACAGAAAAGATAAACCATGAGGAATAATGCAAGGCGAGCTGGGGCTTGTGGAATTTTCTTTAGATCTCCTGAAGGGATTGAAACTGGAGAATTTGTTTTCAGTGGGGAATCTGGTTAAACCAAAATGATGGCTGTCTAAAAAATTCTTGATGGTTTTAATGTAAGCCAAATAATACATTCAATCCTCAGCTACTTAAGTTATGAGGTCAAAGTGAACATAAATAAATTAGTTCCTACACTCCATCCAATTCAATTTTTCATCAGCCTTTAAGACCAATAAGTGTTAACTGACTGTCCATTATGGACATTGCATAGACCTGCTTTCACTGGGAATTTGAAAAAAAATGGTCCAAAGACATACCGGTTGGACTGGAAGACATGAGTGTATACGACTTTACTAGTAATCTGATCAATTGGCACAAGCAAATGGGTGAATAAAGAAAATGTTAATAAAGAGTAGAAAACAGCCATATGTTGTATGGAAATCAGCTTTTAAGGTTACAAAAATGAATTTGATGATGCTCACATAAAGAAATCTAATAACTGCTATAAGTATATTTAGACTGGAATGTAAATTCTATCCACAAATCCCATGATAAATATTTAGACATTTCTGAAGTCAACCTATGACATTGCATATCATATTTTACAACCATTTCAAGAGGCACGTATTATATACTAATACTAGAGGCCCGGTGCACAAAAATTTGTGCACTCG